ATTGCCGTGTAAGTCTTATTGCGATCCAACACGTCGGCATCCTTCATCGATGAGTCGGCATCGTCGCTTTGGAGCGACGCCTACGATGCCGCACACGCGACACACGGTCTTGCGTGCGCTACGATGCCTCCGTGTCTTGGCGATGTCCCGGCACTCTCGGGGTACGGTCGGGGAGGGGTTCAGTGTGAGACGGGGTACCATCGGCGCTCTCCCTTTTACAAATTAACAAAATCCTAGGGGCCATCAGTCTGTGTGCAATTGCGTGGGAGGAGTGGCTGCTGGGAGGCGGAGGATTGCAGCGGTGGTGAAGGCCGGGTCGTCCTCGTGGCCGCTTCGCCGGCCAGTTTCGTATGAGCGGCCTCTAAGTAAGTACGTAGTCGCGCGGCGTCCGGACGAACCTGCTGGGACGCGAGGTGCTGGGCCGCCGGGGGTTCCGCCCTTGTCGACTCGCGGTCCGTCCACGACACCTACGACAGATAAAGGCGGCCCAGGAGGCTATCCTATGTCGGCACCTTGCTCACGGCCTTGAGCAGATCGCTCTGGGCCTTGTCGAGGCCCGCGACGCTGTGGTGCTGCTGTTGCTGCTGCTGCTGCTGCTGCTGCTGCTGCTGTTGCTGGGCGTGCTGCTGCTGGAGTGCATTTTGCTGCTCCTGCTGCATCTTCGCCTGCTTCTCGGCCTGCTGCTTCTTCATCATGTCCTGCTCCTCGCGCTCGCGGCGCGCCTGCTCGTTTATCTCCTTTACGGCCCGTAGCTCCTTCTTCAGCTTCATCCGCCGGTTCTGGAACCAGATCTTGATTTGGCGTTCGGTGAGGCAGAGCGCGTGCGCGATCTCGATTCGTCGCCGTCTCGTCAGGTAGTGATTGAAGTGGAACTCCTTCTCGAGCTCGAGGGTTTGGAAGCGGGTGTAGGTCTGGCGGCCTCGACGTCGCGGGCAACCGTTCGGACCTGCAAGCAAAGCGAGACGGGGCTTTCATTAAATTGGAATATTGTGATTAATCCGATAAATATCCCTGACATTAAATAATGGGCTACTAGGGCTTCAAGCCTCGGTCGCACTCTTCTCCTTATCATGATCTTGAGCACTACTACGTCTCGTTATTATCATTATTATCATTATTATCATTATTATCATTATTATCATTATTATCATTATTATCATTATTATCGTTATTATCGTTATTATCGTTATTATCGTTATTATCATTATTATCGTTATTATCGTTAGCATTGTTATTGTTATTGAGTATTGTTATTATCATATATCTTCATGTGGATCTCGTTAGCAATTTTGTATTTTATGATTAACCAAAATTAATATTTTTTTTTCATCAATTTTCACGCCTTGCTAGCTTCTCAAAGGCTATGGCGCGGTATGTTTTACTGCAATTATTAGGATTCTTAAATTTCAAACTGAAAATCTAATGAAAAACCTCATTAAAATTCGATGTTTTCGGCAATATTTAATCATAAATGTTTATTAAAATAAATACGACAACTATTAATGTGACGTATAGGATATTATAAATCTTGATATTTATCGAGACAGGGGTATGTTTATAAGCTAATGTGCCCGTTAATATTAACATACGCTCAACTTTGAGATTACATTCCTATTTAACGTAGTCTCACAAATTTATAAATTTATGATACTTATAATTGATCAAGAGGATAAAGATGATGAAAATAATATTTAGTATTCGGTTTAAACTTTTAACATTCGTTGCACTTACATCGATTTGTGCAAATGAAATCTGAAGTATTTCCCTTGTTTGTGACTAAGTAAATATATTCCTGAACGATATTGTGCATAAAAATCAACTTATTCTTCGTTTCCATTAATTGTATATTTGTTGGATAAAATAGAAAGAGATAAAGAAGCTGGAATAGAATAAATAAATGGAATGAAATAGAAGAGATAAAGAATTCGGCAACTGTAGGAAATTAGCTACAACTACGGCAGCTATAAAACTGAATCATTTTATTTGAGTTAACGATTAAAGCAACGGCACAATAATAATTCTGACTGTAGTAATAGTATAAAATTAGTATCCCCCCTCCCTCCCTCCCGCCACAACCAATTTCACCATATTCCACATTATATTCTTCCTCGACAAAGAGGAGGTAGTATTAGTAGTAGTCGCGCGCTATTTCGAATGGTCAATTTATTACAGGAGGGTTGCGTACTGCAGCTCATTGCAGAAAAGAGAAAGGACCATCGGAGGTAAAAAAAGAAAGTTTTCTTTGACAGTGCCTTTCGGTGGGCCGTCACTTTTTTTCCCGCACAAGCGGCACACACGCACGCACACACTGATACGGTAAAAAAGCCGAGGAACAAAAACCCTTTCTCTCGTAGAGAAATTCCTAGTTGGACAAGCCAGTACGGCCCTGACTTTCACCGAGCAGCGAGGCAGACGCACAAGCCAAAGTCGTAAACGCGGGGTACGACCGAGTCCAGGAACTATTTTATGGTGTTTGGTTAGTAATAGTTATCGAAATGCCAAGCCGTGGGATACTCCCGCGCAGGTAGATGTAAGACTTGACTCAGGTATTACTTCAGGGGGAGCGCGCGTTACGCATAGTCACTCAAAACGATGACTTCCAAGTTCGTAAATGTCAAAGAGTCGCTGACTGTTATTTATGCCGTGGCAGTTTAACATCAAGCAATATTAGCAATATTTTGACCCGTTTGAGCTACTAAAATCACAACTGCTTCGTCAATTAGTATCGCTTAAATCATCTGTTAAAGTGACAATTGATTTTCGGACTTTTTACGTATGCTGCGCGATTATATCGTCGGTTAGGTGTCTTATATGGGCCCTAAACACTTGTTGGAACACAATTATTCGATACTAAATTACGTTTTTAATAAGCAATAAGGCGGAGTGATAATTGTAAATTATTAAAAAATGTTTGCGCAACGTATTCGACTCCCAAGTAAATGGGGAAGCCGATAGAAAAATTACATGAAATAGAGAGAAGCGGTCAGCCGACTTAATAAAATTATGACATATAATAATTCATCGGAATACGAAAATGCATGATTCCGATTTTAAGATTTGATTTCGCCGAGCAGCGAGGATAAAAAGTCAGATATTTATAAATTTTTACTTTAATAAAAATTTTAATTTACGATGTCTGCATCAACCCGAGCAGCATTAACATAAATTTGCAAAGCCGTTTGCTCGTACTGAATTGAGAGAGCCAGAGAGAGAGAGAGAGAGAGAGAGAGAGAGAGCGACAGAGAAGAGGAAGTGTGTGTGAGAGAGGGAGAGGAGGATCGAAATGAAAAATGAGCCATGTATCGTTTCACGCGTAATCTGAAAATCCTTGAAATCTTCCGGAGTTATGAAATCTGCGTTAAGCAACATAATTTTCACACTAGAATGATTCTTTACGAACTATAATTGAATTTCCGGATCAACAAAGTTGGATCCGATTTTCCCTTCAAACGCCCATAACATAACACACGCTTTTCACTCCTGCAGTCACGTCAAATCAAAAAAATAGAATGAAATGGGGGAGGGGGAGGGGGAGGGGGGAAGAAGACAAAGATAGAGAGACATAGGATAACATGAAAAAAATATAAGAACAAAAAACATATCAACAGAAAAATAAATAAAAATAAACAACATCAACAACAACAATGTGAAAGTCTGGACGTAATTTTAAAAATCGAAAATCCATAAAGCCTTAGAGGCCTCTCCCTTCCTTGTCGAATGCTACGCTCGTACACACATAACGTCTGCAATAAATAATCGTCCTGAAAGCATTGCAACCACCCGCACATGCAAACATTATAACACCCCATGGAGATAAGAGCGGCCGCGAGAGGAGGAGAAAAAGTGCCCCGAAACGGGGGTGGCGCGCACATCATACACACAGGTGTATAGAAAGGCAACCGAATGCGCATTGTAGTATACAATGTCCGAAATCGAGGAGAAAATCCCGTGGAATGTCGGGAATGCCAATATTGAATTCAACATGGCTGTTTCAATACACGCGGCGCAAGCTTACGCGCGCGCGGACATAGAGAGAGAGAGAGAGAGAGAGACGAAGATGGAGTAGCACATTTACGCATTCGATACACCTCTCCCTCGCGACGCTCGATTCCACCACGTGTGCGTGCATCCCTACGAAGGCGTCAGCGGAAAAGCCGGCCATGTGTCGCGTACTTGTGCGCATGTGTGTGGGTGCGCTCTTTTGTATAGCCTAGGGGGCGAAGCGAAGGGTGGACCGTGGGTTACCTTGGCAACCGGAGGGGAGACCATTTCATCCTGCTGACGGTCTCTTACACGCGCGGTGTTCCAGCAAAATCTTGCTCTCCCTCGTCCCTTGTACGAGACTGAGTGTACGCACGCACAGTCAGGCGCATGTCCACAAGCTCACCCATCGTCCCTCACCCCGCGCCCCAATATATACGCAACAATACTTGCGTATTCACGGAAAATACGGAAACAGTAGAGTTCCCTGCTTTTTCGGCGCGTTCTTCAATGCCGCGCAACACGCAATTTCTAAAAAGGTGGCGGAGGGGCGCGTTAGTGGCACGTCCCATAAATAGTCCTCGTCTTCTTCGTTTTCCTCCCCTATTATCGAATCGATTTGGAAATACGAACAGTCATTAAAAACAATACAATAAAAAACAAAACGACAGCGACAACAACAGTAGTAAAAACAACAACAACAACAACAACAACAACAACAACAACAACAACAAATAAAGGAAAAGATAAGAAAGGAGGGTGGAAAAACTCGAAGAATTAGCCCAAAGACGGTTAGAGTGGAGTGGAGAGTCAAATCCGAGTGGAGTCGAAGAGAACGAGTAAATTTTTCTTCTTTTCTTCTTCTTCTTCGACGACGACGACGACGACGACGACGACGACGACGACGACGACGACGACCTATTAAAAGGAGCGCGCTGTGGCAATAATTTCTATGCGAAGATTAATTATGCAACAACTCCCGTGACTGCTGGTCCGACGATACAATCTATTCAGCCGCCTCCATCGAGCCTCCAATAGATATAAAAGCGTATTGTACCAGCCAATCCTCCTCCTCTCCTCTCTCGACTGTTTGGAATTTAAATAAAGAGACGTTTGTTCGATATACAATGGGCTTATGCCTGGATCGCGGCTCGTAAAATTATAAGCTAAATTTCGATAAAATTGCTCTGCCAATCGTCCTTTTCCTATCGAGGACTTTTCCCATTCTCTTCGTGTTTATTGGCGGGGACGATTTGTTGAATGGCCGCTTAGTCGGGATCGAGCGCGTTAAATTGCCGGCGACGGTTATGGCGATTTTCGCACTGACGTTTCGCAATACGACTTTCGTCAATTATTTATCGATATTATCGAGCAGCGTTGTATAAACTGGCAATAGGCCTTTTAGGGGAAAATGTGAAAGATGTCGCGAAGTAAATTGTAGATGAAAATTTTATAGCGATATTTCAGGCGGTGCGCGTAAAATGGAAGTAAAGTCCGCGTGCGACGCAAATAGATTATTCCTGGATAAATAGAGGGAAATAAGTAAGTAATGGACAGAGGGAGAGAGAGAGAGAGAGAGAGAGAGAGAGAGAGAGAGAGAGAAAGAGAAATTACTAGACCTTTAGCTCTTCTTCGTATTCGACTTTTTGAAAATTCATTAATTACGTACCACTCGATCCGTGCACAATTTTTATGATAACCATATCATTAACATTAAATCCACGTAGCTCAACGCTTATAATTTTTTTTTTTTGTCTATCTTTTTCTTTTTCTTTTTCTTTTTTCGTTTTTTATTTCGTCTTGTTTTTAAATTATAACGTAAGCAAGTATCATGCGACGTGGTATTTTTTTTTTTTTTTTTTTTTTAAATAAAACTCCGTAAGCTTTTTTTATGTCACTAATTTACATGGCGATAGAACCAAGTTGATTTTCCAAGAAATTTCTATAATAATCATCGATAACTCA